GACGGTCCTTCTCACTCGTACCCTGTGGATAAAAGCACACCACAATCAATGGAGACCAGTGGACAGGAAAGTGGGACCAGTGCTCACAGGTGACCGGGGACTCAGAGTCAGAATCACCTGGGAAACTGCAGGGTATTCACATCTGCCTGACCAAAGGAGGCTGGAGTCCCTGAGAGGCGCAGGGGAATGGGGGAGGTGGAAGGAAGCCCTTGTTTCTTCCTCTTTGGTAAGTCACCAGTTTCATCAGCAAGTCAAAACACACGGAACCAGGAAGGGCAGGGGTCTTACCATCCTGTGGTCAAGCACCCCATATAGCAGTGGGGCATGGTTGTTGTCCTGGCTATACAGGTTCTTACTCACAACCTGGATGTGAGCCTGCTGGCGCATCTCCTCAGCTGACTTCATTCCAAAACAGATGTGGCTTCTGGAATGGAAAGAGATGGGGAACAGTTACATCAAAACCACTTACCAAAAATAGCATTTATGCATATGACCCACCATAAGCAACCTTACCCTTCCAATTCCCTATAGGCTCTGCTCTCTCATTATTAAATGTCACTTCATCCTGCTGACTCGTTCCCTCTTAAGTTTCTTTTGTGGTCTCCTCTACTGCTTTCTCTTGAATATTGGCATCTCTCCCTACCTAGGGTTACAACCCTCGAACTTTTTTCATTCTACACATTCTTTCTGAGTGGTGTCTGTCTAATCTCTAGCTGCAGGCCAGCTACCTCTGCTCACCTGGAGACCACACAGATATTTCTTCTGGACAGTTAACAGGCACCTCAAACTCAGCACATATAAAACAAAGCCCAGAACTTTCTCTCCCAAATCTGTTCCTTGTTCATTTTCCAAAAAAGCCTGGGGGTTTACGTATGATGTGCCGGGCACCATCCTGAGGGGCTGAGGATACAGATTAGATAAGACAGGGAATTCCCTGCCAACATGGGGCTCAATTTCAGGGAGGGCAAGACAGAGAATAAACAAATAGATACACAAAAGTGAATAGATGCAGGGAAGGAAAATGACGTGAAGCGGGAGAGGAGAGTCTGAGGAGACTATGTCGTGTGGCCAGAAAGTCTGGAAAATTGACATTTCCGCTGAATTCTGAATAAGAGGGAGCCAGCGGTAAGATTGCCCAAGCAAGACATTCTGTGTGTCAATCTCATTTCTCCCTTACCCATCCCTACCAATCCTGTCAATTTCACACCCCTCAAACTGAGAGAATGGCCATCATCAAAACGTCTACAAATAATAAATGCCGGAGAGGGTGTGGAGAAAAAGGAACCCTCCTGCACTGTTGGTGGGAATGTAAATTGGTACAGCCACTATAGAGAACAGTATGGAGGTTCCTTAAAAAACTAAAAATAGAGCTACATATGATCCTGCCATCCCACTCCTGGGCATATATCCGGAGAAAACTATAATTTGAAAAGCTACATGCACCCCAATGTTCACTGCAGCACTATTTACAATAGCCAAGACATAGAAGCAACCTAAATGTCCATTAACAGATGAATGGATGAAGATGTGCTGTAGATACATATAGATATATGCATACATATAAATATATATATATATATACATATATATACACAAACACACCCACACAGTGAAACACTAGCCATAAAAAAGAAAGAAATAATGCCATTTGCAGCAACACGGATGGATCTAGAGATTATCCTAAGTGAAGTAAGCCAGACAGAGAAAGACAAATATCACATGATACTGCTTATATGTGGGGGAAAAAAACAGATACAAATAAACTTATTTACCAAATAGAAATAGGACTTTCCTGGTGGGGCATTGGTTAAGAATCCGCCTGCCAATGCAGGGGACACAGGTTTGAGCCCTGGTCCAGGAAGATCCCACATGCCGCAGGGCAACTAAGCCCGTGCGCCACAACTACTGAGCCTATGCTCCAGAGCCCGCAAGCCACAACTACTGAAGCCCATGCGCCTAGAGCCCGTGAGCCACAACAACTGAGCCTGCGCTCTAGAGCTCATGAGCCACAACTACTGAGCCCGCGTGCTGCAACTACTGAAGCTTGTGTGCCTTGAGCCCGTGCTCCGCAACATGAGAAGCCACAGCAATGAGTAGCCCGCGCACTGCAACACAGTAGCCCCTGCTGGACGCAACTAGAGAAAGCCCACGTGCAGCAACAAAGACCCAATGCAGCCAAAAATAAATAAATAAATAAATTTATTAAAAAAACAAAACAGAAATAGACCCACAGACATGGAAAACAAACTTATGGTTCCCAAAGGGAAAGGGGGGAGGAAAGGGATAAATTAGGAGTTTGAGATTAAAGTATACACATTCTATATATAAAATAGATAACCAACAAGAACCTACTGTATAGCACAGGGAACTATACTCAACATTTTGTAATAACCAATAAGAGAAAAGAATCTACAGGAGAATATATATATAAAATTGAATCACTGTGCTGTACACCTGAATATAACACAACATTGTAAATCAACTATACTTCAATTAAAGAAAAAAAAAGATTCCTCACTGCCTGCAAGATGGCTCTGAAACAAAGCTTCAAATCTGCTTCCTTCTCATCACTATACTTTCTCCCTCCTGTAAGCTCCTGGAAGAAGGCTGTTCTGCCTGAACCCCTTGCCCACCTCTGCTTTCAGAACCCCCTATGCCTACCCTTGCCCTCGCACTTGTCCTATCCAACGTTGACTTGTCTACCTTCTCCAGGTAGACTAGGCAGTAAGGTCTTACTCATGTCATATCTTCATGTCCATCAACGGGGCCAGAACACAGTACCTTCCTCACTAAGCATCTACTGCAAGAATGATTGATTTGTTTCTCTACTGGAAGGTCTAAGGGGGAGGTTGTGGCGTACTAAATTAGCTCTGAAGAAGGTCCAGAATAACAGCCTCATTTCTGAGACTGCTATCCATCTGCCTGTGATACAGCTTTCTAGCTGGCAACTCCATTCTTTTGGTCAGCAAATACTACCTCCGTGTCATGTGCTCTACAGCAAAATGGGTCCCCGCCCCAGGTTGCTCCCATTCATTGCAATGACCAAAGATTCGCTGAAAGGGGTCATCGTCTCACCTCAGGAGAACTCGAGCTTCGGCCCATGGTGCACGGATCGCCAAAGTTCCCACCACATCCCCCAGGTTCCCACCACATCCCCCCTTCTCCACCCAAGGAACCACCCCTGGCCTGGGTTCCCCAGGTCGTGAAAGCCCTCTGCCCGATCAATATCCATTAATCTAACCTGATACTCCTGAGCTGTGCCCACACCTCCCACTGATTCCTGGCCCTTCCCTTCCAACCGACCTCACCTCTGACCCTTCCCTGACCTCGGACCCCTCTGCCCCTAATTTCTCTGCCCTTCGGGGAGTTTTGCTCCATCTTACATTTTCTTGGCCACATCCGTCTCCCGGAACTGCTCCTTCACCATGGTGACGGCTGCCGGGGCTCTCTCCTCGAGACTTAGATTAGAAATACGATGCTCACAGCACCCCCCCGGGACTAACTTGACTGGTTGCTAACACATCCCCGGCATTTTTTCGGCCACCGTAGCTCGCCCCACGTGCCCGCCTCCACTTCCGCTACTCGCCGGCGCTTCTGTCTGTTAAGAGAGGCTTCGAACACGCCTTTTTACGCCTTCTCTCTACACTGCCATCTGGCGGCACCTCCTTGAAACTGTACCGAAACCTTCACGGTGTCTTCAAAGTCCGGTTTCCGGTCCATTTCTTCTTGTCACCTGACACCTGCAAAGAAACTACAACCCCCTGCCTCAAAACTTTTAGAAAACCAGAGAGCCAAAAATTGCATACAATGGAAAATCGTCTTACCAACATCAATACCATCTTAATTAAGAGCCTTTAATTATTTAAGGAAAGGTGGAGGCTAAAATGAACCTGCCCAAGGAACAGAGGACTTCATCTAGATTATCAAGAAAGGAAGTAAACAGGGCAGAAAACACGGCCATGCATGCACCTCCAGTTCACAAAGTTATTTTGAAAAAGAAGAAGAATTAAACTTATATTATTGATTACAAAAACAGAAGATGAAAATCTGTGAGTTTAGTGTGAAAAGTGAGCCATGCTGAGCTAGGGAAACAAGATGAAGGGAGAATAGGAAGCGATTATTCATGCACTGAGGAAATACATTTCTTATCTCACACCTCACACCCTGTGGGAGGTGATCCTAGTGTGACATCTTAGCGCATGATACTAGAGAGAAAACCATTCCACCATAGGACTCAGTGCTACAGAACCTGAAACTTACTTCTTTACTATCTGTGAGAAACTCTAAACAGAACCCAATAAAGTGGCTCAACACTTTTGAATTTTAAGGGATGCTGCCTTCGGACTTTATGGATCCCCACTAGTAAAACATATGTCACAGACAGAAAGCAAAGCAAACCAGATTTTCCTATTTCAGCAGTTAATATGTCTTTGAAGATTTGGTGAGTGATTTTCATTATCTAGAAGTTAAAAACAAAGGTTCTGGAACCACAGTATCCATGGGTGTTTAGGGACTACTGCTTAAAAGTTGAGCGACCTTGGGAAAGTTCCTTAACCTCGTGCTGTCATAGTTTCCCCATCTATAAAACGGATAAGTAATATGTACCCTAATTCTTAGAGTTGGTGGGAAGGTTAAATGGCAAAATAAGGGTAAAAGTACTCAGAAAGTAACAGACACATAGCAGCGCTCTCAAAAGCCTGCAACCTGATTTGTCGGTCTCTGAACCTGCATGCTTATGTTCTTTATTGTTACACGTATGTCTCACTGTAAACTAACAAATTTCTGTATCAAGCAGATACTTATTAAAAGCTCACTTTTGTGGGGATTAAGATTTTTCAGAAAAAGACAAATTAAAGAATTTTTAATTTTTAATTAGAAAATCAGATTCTCTAAGCTCAGAAAAAATAAATTAATTAAATAGCAATAAATTAAAACGGTCAGTTTTGCGTACTTGAAATAAAAGTTTGAGTCCGGGTTTCTGCAGTTTCCCTAGCAGTAAAATGAGGAGGCTGGTCGAGAGGACCTCCAAGGATGCCTTCGAGCTTTACCAACCTCCAACGCGGGTGGAGGGGAATTAACTTTAATCCGGTTTACCGGAATTTTAAGCAGAGACAGTTCAAGATAATGAATTGAAGTGGAACACGTGCTTGCGTAAACCTGGTGGGCCCAAACTGTTCCCCCTCCGGATTGGCCGTTCACGTTCCGGGGGTGTGGCGAAAGAGCGAAGAAACCAGGTCTTATACCCTTTCAATCAGGCATTAGCGCGGTCGGCCTCGCGGTCTGGCCACGCCCCCACGCCGGCGTCTCCCGGGGTCCTTCCGTGAGCGTTGATATGATTGGCCGGCGGAAGATAGTTCTCCAGGGATCATCCAACGCATATCTGGGCCATCCTCCGTCCCCTGTTCCCGCCGTTAGCACTACGGCCGCCCGAAGCCCGATTGCTCTTCCCTGGCCGTGTCTGACGTAGGCCGGTTGCCGATGGCCGGGGAGCCGCCGGCGGGGAGTCCGGGCTGCGCTGTCGACCCAGACATGCCGGGCTTCGGAGTCCTCGGAATGGGGACTACGGGAGCGGCTGCTGCGTTTGTCGGCTTCGTGGAGTCTAGTGGGTGGGGTGGGGTGGGGTGGGGTAGCGTGAGGAGAGACACATCGCACTTGAACGCTTAATTTGGGGTAGGCGGTTCGCCGGTGAAGGCAGCCCAGGAGAAGAGGGTGTTGGCAGCGCCCGGGCGTGTTGCGACGACTGAAACCGTTCCCACGTGTAAGCTAGAATATTGTCAGCCGAATGGATCCTCTTGTTTCACAGGGGGGAAACAGGCCCCGGGAAGAGGAGCCACTTTAAGGCTTGCCCTGTCATGGTTAGTTCCTTAGAAGGATCACCTGTTTTTAACCCCAGTCTTATCAGCGAGCTCTTTTTTCCTTGACCCTTACTTTCAAGGATTGAATATTGCTGAAGTGAACTTAGTGTGGTGTGGTTTTTCAGACTGCAGTCGAAAATTAGTTAATAGTCAGTGTAAGCACGCTGAATGCCCACATTCCTTGGTAGTCACTCATAGTGGAAAAGAGCAACGGGGCCATTCAGAAGGGGGTGCAGTTTTTTTTGTGGGGTGTAGCGTTGGTCATTCAAGAAGGGTAGTTTACAAGGAGGTGGTGCAATGCTTGTCACATCTGTGCAGGATGCAATAAACAGGGTGCCGTGACAATAACAGTGATAGAGTCACAGCTTTACTCCAGAGAAGTAGGCTTTAACTGGGGGTGATTTTTGCCTCTGAGGGGCCAGTTGACAAAATCTGGATACATTCTTGGTCACAACTGGGAAGCGCAGGTGCTACCGGCATCAAGTGGTTAGAGGTCAAAGATGCGGCTACACAGTCTAGAATGCACTGGACAGTCCCCACAGCACAGAAGTAGCTGGACCAAAATATCAGAGGTTTGAGAAACCTTGCTGCAGAGTGATTTCTGTAATGAAGTAAGGCGTTTCCAGGTTTAAAATCTTGACAGATTCAGAATGTGGCTGTTGAGTGTTTTCTTGATGCTGTTTTTGTGATGGGGTGACCTGTGAGTTAGGCACTGTGCTAAGTGGGTTAGGAGGAGATGGGAATTTGTGCATTTTTTTTTCTTTTATTGAGGCTTTCTTGCCACTAACCCATGTGACTCCTGAATATTTGAAATGTGGTTCCTGCAGCTGAGGAGTTGGTTTTTAATGTTGTTTATTTTTAATTAATTATGCACAGATGGATAGCCACAGGGTCTTCTGATTTGGCGATTGCAATTCTAGCTCTTGGAAAATCACAGCGGGTCAAGAGAAGGTTGAATAGTTTTCTTAATGAGTGTTGTTATGTTTTCAGAACGACACGGTAACTATCCGGACAAGGAAGTTCATGACCAACCGACTACTTCAGCGGAAACAAATGGTAAGGAAGGGTACGTCAGAGGTTGGTTGTTGTTCGGTTTTGAAGATGTATTTCATTATAATAAACCCTAAACTTGGTAATCTTTTTAGGTCATCGATGTTCTTCATCCTGGGAAGGCAACAGTACCTAAGACAGAAATTCGGGAAAAGCTAGCCAAAATGTACAAGACCACACCAGATGTCATCTTTGTGTTCGGATTCCGAACCCATTTTGGTGGTGGCAAGACAACTGGCTTTGGCATGATTTACGATTCCTTGGATTACGCAAAGAAGAATGAGCCCAAACACAGGCTTGCAAGAGTAGGTGTCCTATCTGTTCAACAGCTGCTTAAAGACATTTTTTCAGTAACATTGTGTTGTGGGTGCAGTGGAATGAGCAAAAGCAAGCAGTCTGCAGGGGGACAACATACTAAAGAACTCTTAAGGGGTTGAGAGAAAATGTTCTTTGATAAATGCACAGATAGAGTACAGGAGTTCAGAATGGGGTCTTCAGGATTTGAGGAGGTGACATTTGAGCTGGGTCTAGAAGAGCAGGTAAAGCAGTGCTCCTGGAGGTAGGAACTGGAAGTAAGTAGGGGGATGAGTTCAGAAAGGTAGGTTGGCACCAAATTAAGTGACATCTTTATTCCCAAACATCTGAGTTTGGGCTTAACTTCATAGGTTGCCAGGAACCATGAAAGCTTTTGGATCACTTCCTGAGTACCAAGCACTACACAGTGACCTACAGTTGACCGTTGAACCACACGGGTTAGAATTATGAAGGTCCACTTAACGCGCAGATTTTCTTCAGTAGTAAAATTTGTATTACAGCGATCCGAGGTTGGTTGACTGCACAGATGTAAAGGGAAGTGTGGATGTGGAGGGCCAGCTATAAGGTATAATCAGATATTCAACTGTTCAGGGTTGGCACCCATATTCGTGCAGTTGTTCAGGGCTCAACTGTACAGCAGTAGACCGGGCAAACTCCCTAGCTTACATACTAAATTGTGAATGAGCAAGTGGATTGTTACTTTGAAATAGTTCTTGTGTCTGCCCCCTTTTAACTTTTTTTCCTCCTTGCTATTAGGTAAAATCTTTCCATTGAATAGGTATATGGTAGATAGATGCCGCACTCTTTATTTTTTTTTTTCGGTACGCGGGCCTCTCACTGCTGTGGCCTCTCCCGTTGCGGAGCACAGGCTCCGGACATGCAGGCTCAGCGGCCATGGCTCACAGGCCCAGCTGCTCCGCGGCATGTGGGAACTTCCCAGACCGGGGCATGAATCTGTGTCCCCTGCGTCAGCAGGCGGACCCTCACCCACTGCGCCACCAGGGAGGCCCTGCACTCTTTTAATTGGGTGGTCTGGGAGACCTGGCTGAGGTGAAGTGAAGCCGAGTTCCTTGTAAAGATTGGGGAGCATTCCTGTAGGCATCAGGAAGAGCAAATGCAGAAGTGGGCAGAGTGAAAATGAGTAGCTGGATGCTGTCTCCGTGGGGGGTGTAGAGTTCTTGGGAAAGATTCCTCTGTCAGCTATGAGTAGGAAACAGGGAGTTGAAATGGAAGAGACCCTGAAAATGTGGAGAGCTAGCGAACAGTAGGCTCAGAACCATAACAGCATGCACGGAGCGTTGAGTGCACACTTTTCCCATGCTGTTTTCTGTTTGTGCTGTCTCAATTTGATGACCGTTTCTGTTCTAGCACAAACAAGTATTGTTAAATGTATTTGACGAGTTTTGACTTCTGAAGCTGTATTTCTTGAGCTCCAGCCTGGTCACTTTACCTACCGGATTAGTATGTAACGATAAGTTGATGTTTGCTAGTCACCTACGTGAATACGTATATATATTCCTTTCTTTTTCAGCATGGCCTGTACGAGAAGAAAAAGACCTCGAGAAAACAGCGAAAGGAACGCAAGAACAGAATGAAGAAAGTCAGGGGGACTGCAAAGGCCAATGTTGGTGCTGGCAAAAAGGTATAGTTTATCAAGGGAAATACAGAAATGTCAATTCCAGGTTTTTAGTTTGTAGAAAGGTGGGGTTTTGTTTTCTTAATAACCTTTCTTAATGTTTCTTCTTTTCCGACTTCTTCTGGATTACAGAAGGTAACCTGTTTTGAGAAGCCACGTAACGTAGTATCTTAACACCTCAGTAGAGTAGCTTTGCCCACCCCTTGTCAGCTCACAGATTAGCACAACCTGGGGCCACATTGTTTCAGTGTTCGGTAGAGTGATCCTGGTGGGTGCCTTGCAAGTCCTATCAGGAAAGTTTTCATTTTACTGCTAATTACAAAGATTGTTAAAGGGGGAGCAGATCTAGTTTCCCAAGACTTATTTTCTTAAAATTGGCAACTGATGAAGAAGCAGCTGAATCAATGTGGCCCGTGTTATCCTGGCATGCTGGAGAGGTAGCACAGTTCTCCATTGCTTTCCTCTCCAGTTAGTCAGCACTTAAGTGATTTTAATGATGAGCTTTTTACCAGCTTTGCTAGCTAATTGTAAATAGTTGAATGGAATTAAGGTGTTGGGTTGTTAAATTAACAAATAATCAAGTGTTCTGTGAACTTTTTTTTTTTTTTTTTTTTTTTTTGCCTTTTCCCTCTACTTTCTTGGAATTCTTGTTCATCAGAAATGAAGTGTCTAGCAGGTACTGAGATTGTGAGCACGGTGTGGGGATGCATCACCTTCACTAAGTTTGCTTTGATGCTTTGCATGTTGGCTTTCGGAAGAGAGTTTTGTAGTATAGTCTATTATAACACCACTGCTACGGTTTAAAATAGTATATTATGGGCAAAGGAGAAAAACTTTAAATGACGTTTATTTTGGAAACTCAAAAATGCATGTTAAGTTGGGAAGTGCCCCAGTGGAGGAAGGTAGCCGCTTTTAACTGGCACTTGGGAAATGCTGTGTTCCAGAGCTCCACATACCCAGGAAATGGCTTTACTTAACACAGGGCTTGGGAAGGGTTCTCTCATCCAGTCATGAGCAGTCTTTCCCTTGGGGACTCTGGAGATTGGTTGATTCTCTGGCAGCTTTGGTGATAAACTGGTCCAGAAAATCTGGCAAAGCCTCTGTCCCGGGAGCACACACCGAAAGTTGCCTTTTACTGTCTCCTTTACTGTCCCATTGCTTTTTATTAGTTGATCTCCAGCTTTCCACCTGATGCCCTTTGTTTTTAATTTGAAAATTTCCAAGATAATTGAAAATATTCACATCAAAGTCTTTGATAAATACGCTTTTCCCACAGGTACTTAAATACTTTTGCACATCTGAGCAGCCTAAACCAGTAACATGTAAAGTGGGCTGAGAGTGGGTTGGGACTAGTAAGGTTTTGAAACAGTGGTGGTCACCGCTCGAAATGCTTCCTCTCACCGTGACTCCCCGCCAGACCAGGCAGTAAACGTGGTGTTCCTGCTCTGGGCTGTAATCCCATTGACTTCCGGGTGCCATGGAGTTGTAATGGACTGCCAGAGGAACTGCTTGCTGCTTAGTTAGAAGAACCGCTCCCTGTTTGTGAGGCTTAGTATACTTGTTGACAGAAGTTCCAGAAGTTGAAAAACAGTCAATATTTGTGTTCTGATCTACATCTGAAGAACTTTTTTACACATTGTTTTTTTCATTCAGCCTTTGAGTCACGTGTGTTAGTGCTCAGCGGTGACGTGCAGAGTTTAGCCCTGTGGGGACCTGAGCTATCACTATTCCTGCTTCAGGTTGCACTAGTGCATTTCACTAGCACTGCTCTGAAAAGCGGCTGGAAAAGGAATGCATAAATGAGACGTGTATTCTTTGACTCAAATAAAAAAAGGCATAGTAATGTCCTTTGAACTTAGATTTTGGAAATCAGACGTTGGAGTTGCACCTTTTGGGTATAATAGAGTTGTTTTAAATTAAGGAATAGTCTCATGTTTGAAGAGCAATTGAATTTTTTTTACATCAGCTGAGTTCTGCCTTTTTAAATACTAATTCACACTACTTGTGTTGATTGTGAATGGTGGCTTTTAAAGTACTGAACTGAGACAGGTTTTAAAAGACTTGCTTGATCATTTAGAGCTCTCCCCTTGTGGTTAAATTAGACTTCAGTCTGCGATGATTCTCAGGTCGGTTGATGGTGCTAGCGTGCCCAGCACGGTGTTGCTGAGCAAAGCAGAGGTGCCTTCATTTGTAAGTAGGCAGTGGCAGCCTACGAACCATAGTAATCAGGCAGGCTGTTCTCAAAATTGGGTAGAATAAAATCAGTGAGTGTGTCTAGGGAGTGCTCTTTATACAATTGCAAAGAACAAAATAGTCATTAAGGTATCTGATTGCATGCAGATTATTTAGGAGTCTGAAAAGGGACTATTAATGAAATGTTTCTTTTCCCTCTTCCCTCCTTTCCCCCTTCCCTGCCACTGATTCAGTGAGCTGGAGATTGGACAACAGGTATAATTCAAGCTTTTCGTTTAGATTGCTAGACTCCTTGGTTGACAGTCATTAAAAATAGAGCATGTGAAATGATTTAGAAGTATATTTACAAATGCTCTCAAGAGTTGTGCCTCTTAAAAACTAGGAGTGACATGGTTTTGTTGTCAAAGCTTGTTTTTTGTCTCATCCCTAACTTGAATGTTTGTGAGTTTTATATCTTGATGCTTACATTGTTTTAAGATCACACAAACTTAATATGGTCTAGGTTACTAATGTTCGTTCTGCATGAGTGTCATTAATTTTGGGGTTTGTTGAAGACTTTGAACTTTAATTTTTAAAGGCAGTTGCTAACTAAATTTTTCTTTTTCTTTAATTCACAGAAGGAATAAAGACTCTGCAGTGACTGTGTCTGTGGTGATTGTGCAGATTTTTCATGAGAGAGTTAATAAACTAAGACTTTTTACATATCTGGTTGTTTGGAATATATTTGAAGTTTACTGGGAGTGCTGTAAAATTGGTTTGCTGTTTAACAGATTTAGAGTGCTGCCCAAGTTCACATGTTCCATTAAGCATTCAGTGAAAACTTGCTATGTTGGGGTGGTGTTTGTCCTTCCCTTTAATGGCACAAAGGTGTCAGGGTGTAGAGTATTGGCAGCGTGGGAGCATGTAGGGCCAGTCTGGTGTGCTCATGTTAATACTTGGTATTATAGTTGGTCAGTCTCTGAAAGAGACTCTTGAAACCTGAATTCCTTTTTGGTCTTACTAGAACCCCACATAGTCTTTGTTACGGAAAAAAATTTGCTGGCCTTGATAGAAATTAAGTTACTAGATTACATTCTCATCATTTATCTTGAAGTAAACAGGATATCCTGAAATAAACAGGATCTGTCGAAATTGTCTGTTGCGGGCTTGTGTTTATATGATAAATGAGTGGTTTATTGTGGGTGGGGAATTTGAGAAAGGCTCTAGAGTGGTGAATATTTGTGTGTAATTGCTTGGTAAATCTGATTGTGCATGGGTTTTATGAAGCATTGAGGGTTATCTAGTGCTACTTTTTCTTTGCCAGATGCTTATTCTCACACTGGCTTTTTTAGGCGTCAAGGTTGAGAACCTGAAATGTGGGTTATTGGTCAGTTGTGTGGGGTTGGGGGATTTGAGGAGGGGGTTGTTTGAAGGTTGCTGGGGGGTTGGGGTGCCATTTGAGAGGATAGGAAACATGAGTAGGAGAGCTTGGGTGTTTGGGAGGGAACAGAAGAGGCATTAATGGTTCATGGGTTTTGGATGTCATTCTTCCCTGAGGTTGGTGTGTGATTGGTTTCTACCTTAAAGTGGGTCCGTGTAGGAGTCAAGCTTATAAATGCTATTAAGAACTATATCAGTGGATGGAAAGCTTCAGAGAAAACTCAGGAAGCTGTAGAGGACTGCTTGGTTGGGTTGAAAGGGGAACCAGGAAAAAGCAAGAATCATGATAGCAGAAGGCATGTGAGGGTTGCAGGAAGGAGTGGTTGGATATTTTGCAGAGAGCATAGTGAGAGGCCTTGACTTGAAGAAGGAGCTATAGCCTGGGAGGGCAGGGATGTGACCAGGTAAGTGAGGGGCCTGAACCTGCTGGCCCAGGGTGCAGATGGCGGGGTGGGTGTAGTTCCGTTTGTGGCTCTGCTGAGGCTGCACACTTGGGTTTGTGGAAACCATGGCCTTGTGGGTTCCCTTGTTAGGGAATCTGCTTTGTGCTTCCTTAATAGGACCAGGAAATAAGATCAGATGGTCTACTTGTGTAGGAAGAGTTTGGAGGAGTGGGGGATTTAGGTCTGCACACTTCCGTTTTCACCAAAATGGCTAATGGGTGGTGTGGAATCCCTAAGGGATTTGAGGTGTGTGGCATTTTTAAATGAGCAGTGTGTGGAAGCCCGAGATCATCCATGCCTGGTGGAGATGCAGTTCCCCAGGACTGATCTAGGGTGTAGGTGCAGAGATGGGCTGGTGAGCAGCATGTAGGGGCAAGAAGCAGAAGATGCTGGGAGAGGTGATATTTGGGATGGCTCAGGACAGGGTAGGAGATGAAGTCGAGCAGTGGTGGGCGAGGGTGGGGGCTGACCCCAGGGGCCTGTGGTCACAAAGTTCAGGAGCAGGGCTAGAAGAAGCAATGGAGCAAGAACCGAAGGGTAGGAGGTGGTTTTCAGAGTGAGGTACTAGGGGTTGGTGTGAAGACAGGGCACAGCTGCAAGGGAGCCTGATGAGGTGAAGTTTGGCAACCAAGTCACAAGGTGCGTAGGCTTTTCCATTGGGATATGCTGGGGGAGGGCAAAGTTTGCAGTCATTCAGCCAGTAGTCTCTTTGAAGGGAATCGTGATTAACTCTGGTTTAGCCTGTTTTTCTAGGAGAACTGCCTGGGCTAGGATATTACAAACGTCACGAACTGGCAGTCTCGTCGGTAAGCTTTGTTGGACAGGCAAAGCATTTCAAAATAGGACAAACCCGTACATGAAGATCCAGATTCCTAGCCTCTTGAGTTATCAGAAGAATCAGCAGCAGGCCCACCTTCCTGCATGGTGACAGTTGGCAAGGTTAGAGAGTGGGCTGTGTGCCTCAGGGTGGGTGTTCTGTCGTCCCCCGTGGCCTCTGCTCCGGCAAGCTAGCCTGCACCCTTGTCCACCTGCCCTCTGGTCTTGTGTCCCCTCTGCATGCTGCTTAACTTCCATCTAGTCCAGCTGGGTGTCTGGGCAAGTTGCTTGGTCCCCTGATTAGGTTAACGTCTCTTTAAATTGGGGCCCCCAAGGGTACTTTCTCTGCTGACCTGACTCACAAGGCTATTTTGAGTCTCAGATGATAAAGCATCTGTGAGAATAGTTTGGAAACTGAAGTGCTGAGCAACTGTGTGACGGGAAGCAAGGACTAGCGTTCAGTTGTGCATAGTTGTGCTGTGGAACTCTAGGATTGGAGATTCAGCACTTTGTTGGCCCTGACATTAACCAGACCATACTGCTGTCAACAGGCTTTGAAAGAGCCTCCGTGAAAATGCAAAGTTGACTTTACTCATCAACGGTCAGGGAGGGCGCATCCCCTCCCTCAACTTGGCACTTGTGAGAGGCTGTTGCTTCATGAGGATAGCAAGGAAGAGTCTGGCGAGAAGTTTAGAACTGCACCCCTTTGTTCCACTTGTAGCTGCATGTGCCCAGGTAGCCAGCGTTTAACTGTTCTCTTCCCTCCAAAGAAGAGGTTGAATGGCAAGTTGATTATTCTGGGCTCTCCTTAAAGGTAGCATCTTGACAAATACACCATACTCTTGTAGCTGAGGCAGTTACTGTATAAACAATTACTTCCTTTAATCTGTACAATAATCCTTAGAGGCAGGTCTCATTGGACCCATGTTGGAGAGGGTTTAGAGCAGTTAAGCAACTTAACTAAGTAGTGGGGTGGGATTAGAATGCAGTTGTCTGACTGCAGTCTTTGTTGTGCATTTACCCATTGTTAAATGTTAATTGAGCAGCTTTCTTCCACAGGGTGTATAATGGTGTGCAAGACTATACCTACTACTGTATTTGTACTGTATTTGTCTAACTACTTGTAGGTAGGGTGCCTGTTGCCAGTAGTGTTACTGAACAAGTCATAGATGACCATCTGAATTCCCCATTTACTGCACCTGCTGTGCGCACTAGTCCCTGTTCTGGTAGCTGGGGAGATGGGTGAACAAGCTGTCCCTGCCCCCAGTGCTCAGAGGGGCTTAAGCACCTTGTCCGGGGTCTCATGGCCTGGTTTCTGCTCCTTACCATGAAGCAGCAGACTGTAATTAAGTTAGGTGGTGGGAATCCAGAGGTGAGAAAGTCTTCCAAGAGTAACACTAACTGGGGTAAAATGTGATCTGATCTGGGCACACGGGAGCAGGTGTCTCACTGGGGCTATGAAAGTAGAGAAAGATCACATGGAGATGCACCAGTCATCCTGCAGGGGAAGAGTGGAGATGAGGTGGCAGAGTGTGGGAGCAGAGTGCAGGTAGGCTTTGTCATCCTCAGTGAGGTGCAAGGCGCTGTGGTGACTGGTGACTTCCAGCAGAGTGTTGCCCAAAGCATTTCTGGTAAGAGAAATTCTATTTCAAAAATAGACTTCAGGTTGGCTGCAAGAGCACAGAGGTGTGACGATTGATTGATTTTTTTTTAACATCTTTATTGGAGTATAATTGCTTTACAATGGTGTGTTAGTTTCTGCTGTATAACAAAGTGAATCAGCTGTATGTATACATATATCCCCATATCCCCTCCGTCTCACGTCTTCCTCCCACCCTCCCTATCCCGCCCCCCCCAGGTGGTCACAAAGCATCGAACTGATCTCCCTGTGCTATGCGGCTGCTGCTCACTAGCTATCGATTTTACACTTGGTAGTGTATATATGTCCATGCCACTCTCTCACTTCGTCCCAGCTTACCCTTTGCCCTCCCTGTGTCCTCAAGTCCATTCTCTATATCTGTGTCTTTATTCCTGTCCTGCCCCTAGGTTCTTCAGAACCTTCTTTTCTTTAAGATTCCGTATACATGTGTTAGCATACGGTATTTGTCCTTCTCTTTCTGACTGACTTCACTCTGTATGACAGTCTCTAGGTCCATCCACCTCACTACAAATAACTCAATTTTGTTTCTTTTTATGGCTGGGTAATATTGTATATATGTGCCACATCTTTATCCATTCATCTGTCGATGGACACTTAGGTTGCTTCCATGTCCTGGCTATTGTAAATAGAGCTGCAATGAACATTGTGGTACATGATTTTTTTTTTTTTTTGGGCAGTACATGGGCTTCTCACTGTCGTGGCCTCTCCCATTGTGGAGCACAGGCTCCGGACGTGCAGGCTCAGCGGCCATGGCTCACGGGCCCAGCCGCTCCGCGGCATGTGGGATCCTCCCGGACCGGGACACGAACCCGCATCCCCTGCATCAGCAGGCGGACCCTCGACCACTGCGCCACCAGGGAAGCCCCTATGACTCTTTTCGAATTACGGTTTTCTCAGGGTGTATGCCCAGTAGTGGGATTTCTGGGTCATACGGTAGTTCTATTTTCAGTTTTATAACGAACCTCCGTACTGTTCTCCATAGTGGCTGTATCAATTTACATTTCCACCAACAGTGCAAGAGGGTTCCCTTTTCTCCACACTCTCCAGCACTTATTGTTTGTAGATTTTTTTTTTAAAATAATACTATTTGGGATCTCAGAATTCTTACTGAAATACAGAACTGTACTTCTTTTTAACAGGACACAGAAAGAATGAGGGATAATCTAACTCTGAGGACTAAATTGTTTCAAATTTTCCTAAAGATTATAAGAAAAAGTATTAATCATGTCATTGGTTCCAACTGGTGTGAGGTGATCCTCATTGTAGTTTTTTTTTTTTAATAAATTTATTTATTTATTTTTGGCTGCATTGGTTCTTCGTTGCTGCATGTGGGCTTTCTCTATTTGAAGTGAGTG